CCCAAAGTCGGGGGGAAGTCAGTCCTATTCGTGGTAGTGGACCGGTTCTCCAAATATGCTCACTTCCTCCCTTTATCCCATCCTTATACCGCAGTCTCGGTCGCCCATACCTTCTTCACCGACATTTTTCGCCTACATGGACTCCCGGAGTCCATCGTCAGTGACCGGGACCCGATCTTCACAAGCACATTCTGGAAGGAGCTCTTTAGATTACAAGGCATGGCCCTCGCCTTCTCCTCAGCCTACCATCCACAATCAGACGGCCAAACAGAGGTGGTGAACCGGACAATTGAGATGTACCTTCGCTGCTTCGTGGGTGACCAGTCGCGGCGCTGGGTGGAGTACCTCCCATGGGCTGAATACTGCTACAATACATCCTATCACTCCTCCCTTGGAATGACTCCCTTCAGAGTTGTGTACGGTCGAGATCCTCCAAGCCTTCTGTCCTATGAGCCGGGCTCAACGCGGTTGGAAGAAATGGACCGCAGCCTCCAAGCTCGTGATGCCCTCCTGGTCGAAGTCTCCTTGCGCTTACAACAGGCGCAGGCACGTATGAAGCACGCCTACGATCGGCGGCACCGCGAAGTCACCTTCGAACCAGGGCAGTACATTTGGATGAAACTCCGACCATACAGGCAGCTGTCTCTCAGGCGCCGGGGGCCCCCTAAGCTGGCCCCCAAATTCTATGGGCCCTTCAAGATTCTAAGGTCCTAGAGCACAGCAGGATCCACGACATCTTCCATGTGTCCCTCCTAAAGCTTTATGTTGGCACTCCTCTCGACCATGTGCCTCCCCTACCCCCCTTGCAGGACGGCAGACCTATCCTCCAGCCCCGTGCCCTTATCCGGTCCCGCATCCATCAAGGAACCTTCGAGGTTTTAGTCGAATGAGAAGGACTACCTCCAGTAGAGGCAACTTGGATCCCCTGGACTGATCTCCACAACGCCTATCCAGACCTCGAGCTTGAGGACAAGCTCGTAGTCCAGGAGGGGAGTGATGTTATGAGCACCCGCACCACACGGCAGCAGTTGAGGTAGCAGCGCGCACACGACCGGCACCGCACGGCAGCGGCACCATGAGTCGTGCACACGCACTGCACAGCAGTGGCACCGCACGCACCGTGTGGCAGCGGCACCGCGCGTGCCACACGGTGGCAACACCATGAGCCGCGCGCATGCACACCAGCAGCAGCAGCAGAGCGGGGCCCACACGACAGCTCATAGGGTGGGCCCACCCTTATCTGGATACGTCAAGAGAACACGCCTTATCCCTTATCCCCTGTTCTTAGAAGGAATTGTAGTACCATTAAAAGTAAAGTAGTCTAAATAGAAGTAGGAGTTTGAGTCCGTTTAAGACTAACCTAGCCAAAACCAACAAGAAATCCTCCTCTTGTAATCTCCTATTTAAGGAGACGCCATTATTGAATGAAGATATCAAATATTCAGTTAAGAAAGAGAGTAAAGGAGAGTTCGGTGATTTCTTGGACAAATCACCCACGAGATAGTCAAAATAGGGCAAGGAAAGATATGAGGTTCCTGCGGTGGAGCGACCTGTGATGCGATCCTACGCTCGGGCCCATAACATGATATCTCAAAAAAAAAAAAAACCAACAAATTTCAAATTCAAAGCAAGAGATTGAATACATAACCGTACATCACAGTGGACAGCATCGTCGAAAGTTAACCATTGTGCAGAGTACAGTTAAAGCAGAACCACCGTTACCAGTCGATGTCGCCATCGTCATCCTCGCCATTATAATCTCATTCTTGTTTGCACATATCTTGCAACTTGCAGTATCATTACCTTCCGCTGCCTAGGCCTATCGCTCTGCACCCAAATCAAATCAATATCGACCCATTACTGCTTTTCATAAACAAACATTTCGCAACAACCTTTTCCTCAGTGTCAGGCTGTGCGGTCCCATTGCGCTTCTCTTCTCTTTATCTGCATCTCTAGTGCTGGTTCCTCCATTCTCCGATCTTTCACGGGTTCATTGAGCATGTTCTGTTTGTTTCTGAAGAAAATCATTATTCGCAGCTTCACCGTTCTTAGAACAACTGATTTGCTCAGTCTCGGAGGTCATTTTGCAGCTTTTCTTGTGGAACAATCCGGAAAAAAGCCCTAAAACCAACCAGTAGCAACAGAGAAAGCCATGAGAAAGAACAGTAAAAATAGGAAGGATTTGATAGAACAAACGAAGTATCCTGGTAAACAACAAAAAAAAGAATATTGGGTCAGAGCTTTGCGTTTTTTTTGCAGGAAACATCAGAGCATGCTCGCAAAGAATTTATTTTACAACCAATTCGTTGCATCAGCCTGCAAAGTCAAATATTTATGCCGAAAATCAGAAAAGAAATGCATTTGGTAAGATCAATTTATGTAGAAATGGTAGAAACACAACAACCTAAGATCAATTTAACTGTCAAATGATGTTTGTTTCAACTTTCAACAATTTCATGGGTGGAAATTTCTCAGCTAAGATCAGCTCCAGGCGATTGGGCAAGCTCTGATCTGAAGCTCAGAAACAGAGCCATTCCAAGATTCCAAGCCTGGTCGGACCAGGCCACAGCCCACGGGGCTTCACTTTACATACCCAGCCTGTCCCTGGGCTGACCTCAAACTGAGCTATTGGGCTTGGGCTTGCAAGCCTGCTAGTTGGGCAACAAAACGTTCAATTAATTTCGATATTTGTATAACTTGTATAGATAAAAATAAGTAGTTTATATATATATATATATTTTTTTTTTTTTAATTTTCATTTCTGTTATTATTGTTTTTTAATATTTTATTAATTCCAAAAATTCATGTAGCCGACCTCATGTAGATGGGAGTTGGGATAAGGTAAACCTTAAAAATTCTGACTGTTTGTTTGCGGTGCAAATTCTTTTGTACACATTTTTGTATGTATTTATTATTTTGTCTCCATTGCATTAACTGACAATACAAATTTTGCATCTTAAAAATTGATGCAAATTTTACACCACCTTTTTTATACATCAATTCTTTGTGAAAATCACATCATCTTGCATCCTACCTCACTCATAACCCTCCTCCTACTTACATTCTCTTTTATGCAAAGTGCAGCTACAATAAAAAAAAACAGTCATATGTGAAGCAAAAGTATACCGGAATTTACTGTCAACTTTTTTGTATTTCCATATTTACACCAGTGCAACACTGCAACTGTAATTTATACTGCAAATAAACTGAGCCATTATTATTCAAAATATCGATATGCCCGATATACTGGTAGTGGTATATTGGGCAGTATCGATAACTTATTTATTTATTTTTAATTTTTTTTCAAATCTGATTCAGAGAGGCTGATTTAAGATCCGTCCATCCTCTGAACCAATCAAGACCCCGAAAACATCTCCTATAGGAGCATATCGAAAAGCCCCTAATACGATAAGTATTGGCAGATATGATCCCATACGTATCAATATTTTAAAAGATACAAAAAGCTTTTCAGATAACTTTGAGCTAAAATGCTTATATCCATCTATTAATGTACTCTTCGTGTATAAATTACATGTATCATGCAATGATAAATGATGGAAATTCTAGTTATCTAATAGGTCGAACGAGTGAGTTGGGCTTTTCTAGGGCATATCATGGGCTAATATTCGCAGTAGGCCATGCCTAGCTTTCACAGACCACAATATGACCCAAGATCAGTTATGATGGTCATCAAACCTGTTCTTTGGTCTGCTCCGATTTGTACTGTAGGTTAGTGTTTTTTTTTTCTTTTTTCTTTTTTGAGAATTACTGTAATTTAGTGTTAGTTCCTTGTTATATCATGCTCATGGTATAAGAATACTGCAAACACAAAATAGCCAGGGGCCTGTCCGGAATGTAATAAACTTTCAACTCAACCCGATCCAAATGACACCCCTAGCAATCCACTTAGTTTATGAAGTAGCGGCTCCCAAAACAGGAAGCTTAGCTCAGTTTCATTTCTCCTCTAGGGCTTATAAATACCCTTCAATGGGAAATAAAATTCCAATTCAGAATCCATGCAACTAAGAAATTAAGCCTGTTGTCCAAAGCAAGATTTAAAGTATCAATATAATATGAATCGTATCGGTTTTTGGGATTCTGAATTGGAATTTTATGGATACATATAGATATAATATAATATCAATATAATATGGATAATATAGAGGTGTAAAACGGGTCGTGTCAGGTCGTTTGTGGCCCACAGGCCGTTCTAGTCATGCTGCCCTTCCCAGGGATAATTTGGGGGGTTGGTCTGACACGGCCCATGACCCAAGCCCGTGCAAGCCCATTTCATGTCATGCTGTGCCGCAGGCTTAAGCTGGGTGGTCTACATGTCATGCCATGGGCCTAGGCCATGTTGGGCTAGGCCACATGTCGGGCCTTGGGTATGGGTCAAATTAGGCCAAACTAGTTTATTTTTTATTTTTTTGACATTTTTGATTTTTGATTTCTTTGCTAAGTAAAACTAAAATATTGAACTTTCCTTTGGGAACTATTTGAAAAAATAAGGAATCTAACAAAGAAATGAAAAAATACTTAACCAAATAAGAATAAAGATAGAAAGGCTCAAAGTGAATAATAAATTGGAAGAAAAATAGGAATTGTATTTCATTTAAATTTGAATGGTATAAAACATACAATGGCTGAATGAATGAAATATGAAAATTGGAAAATGAAATAAATTAATAAAATATAAACAATACAATATAGTTACAAATTGAAAATAAAAAAATTACGTTATTAAAAATATCAAATAAATTAAATAAATTTAAATCAAAATTTATAATAATTTGAAAAAATCTATACAACTATTGAGTATACAAAAAAAATATTGACTTCATCATTTTCTCCTATTGTTCTTGACTTTAATCATCTGCTTTAGGTGAAACATCGGGTGCAATGTCCTGCCCTCCTTTGTCTTGTAATCTATTTTCAACATTTAGCCAATCTTTAAAGCAGATGCACATTTTTAGACTTTCATCATTTGTACAACTTCTCTTGTCATCCAACACCTTAGTACCTGCACTAAAACAAGACTTCGATAGAACTGTAGACATCGGAGGATTCTGAATTCTCTTGTTGTCCAACACCCTAGTACTTGCATTAAACCATCTTTCCTAATCCTAGGATCTAATATTGTAGCTAAGCAATAAAGAGGAGAAATATTCTCCCAATATTTTTTAAATTTATTTTCCATTATATTAACAATACTTTTAAATTGTGGATTCTTTCTATATTTTGCAAAACAATCACTAATCATCATTAATTGATAAGCTAAATTATAACTAGTTGGATAATAAATACCCGATAATTCATTAGTTGCATTATAAAAATGTTTTAAAATTTTTTTTATACAAATTGACATTTCCTAGTCTTCCTCAAATATAATATCAATAGGCATCTTTGCATTATAAAAATCACTGAGAATTTTTTTGTGAGAAATACAACTTTCTAACATAGCATAGGTAGAATTTCATCTATGTTTAACATCTAATATACAATTTTTTATATTTTAAACTATAATTTTGACATAAATATTTAAATTCTTGTTTTCTTGCTCCAAAAATTTTAATATATATATAATACAGTTTATACTTTCAGAAATATGAGTAGAAATAATATTTAAAGCATCTTGAATACATAAATTTAAGATGTGACATGCACATTTGATATGAAATAATTTACCATTTAAACATAGTTTTAATTGAGATTTTAAAATATTTATTGCTGAATCATTATTATTAACATTATTGAAACTAATAGAAAATAATTTATTGTCAATTCCATAAGCATGTAAAGTATTTAAAATACTTGAAGCAATAGCTGGGCTAGTATGTTGCCATTTAAGCCTAGTAAAACTTAAAATTCTTTTAGTTAAAAGCCAATTTTCATCAATAAAATGACCGGTAACACAAATATTACTTATGTTAAATTTAGAAGTTCAAATATCAGAAGTAATTGCAACTTTAGAATTAAGATTTGTAACATATAAATTAAAATTTGTTTATATGAATAAAAATTTTTTTAAAGCATTTGATCTAATAGTATTCCTAGAAATTTTTAAATTATGGATTTACAGAATTATGTAACCATTTTTCAAGTCTAGTATCTTCAACTAACAAAAAATGGTTGTTCAGCATGTACAATGTATTTTGCTAATTCTTGCCTCATTTTTTTTCTTATGAATATTTAAAAGTACCAAACCCCCATGCCCAATTTGTGTTTGTGTTGTTTCTCACCCTTCTTCTTCTTCTTCTTCTTCTTCTTCTTCTTTCTCATGGGTGAGCAAATGTTTGCCCAAATGGCTAGTACTACCCTTGCTACAATAGCTAAAGTCTTTCCTACATTTTTTGCAAACAACTTTTTTTCCCTTCCCCTGAACCTCATCTACTTTAAATATTTTCCAAATCGGGCTAATAAACTTAGGGGCCTTATTTTTCTTCCCCTAGTATCAGTACTAGGGGTGAAAGTTCCGATAATATCAATAGCATCCATATCGTTGCTAACACTACCATGTTGCGACTGAATATCGTCAACATTGAAAATGTTGAGGAATTGGTTTCGGGAGGAGTCAACAATTTTTTTTAAATTCTAAAAAAATAAAAATTAATTTAATTGCACTTACTTGGATTGTTGGTTCGGAATCCCAACATGATTTCAACAGTTGAAGCCTTTCAAATCCAAGAGTCCAAGCTTCCCAAATTGTTAACGTGAGATACTTGAGCTGTTGAGCAAGCCTTCTTGTTGAAACTCCAATAAAGTTAAGAATTGGAGAATCAGAGAATGTATGAGAGAGTATGAGAACTAAAGAAGAGATTAAGAGAATTGTTGAATTAGTGTAATGAGAATGGTGGAGGATAGGGCTATTTATAGGAATTGAAAATAATTCAATTGCCTAAAATACCCTAAAAAGTAGCCATTTTTTAGTTGTTGGGAGGGGTATTTTGGTCATTATAAATTTATTTATCACTTTACCCAAAATGCCCCCTCAAACTAGCTTTTATATAGCTATTGGGGGCATTTGTGTCATTCTCTCTCCTCTCAAAACCAAAATACATAAATACGCCCCTAGGGCGGGCCGAGTGTAGCCCACTATGGGCCCGCGAGCCATGTAATGCCAGCCCGTGATGAGCCGTGCTGCAAACTGGGCCATGCCAGCTCGCAGCCCGCGAGCAACATGGCACGTACTGCTGGTCAGTGGGCCTGGAACCCTAGGCCCAGCACGACCCAGACCATCGTGCTGGGCCTGGCATGGCTCGCATGCCGTTGTTGCTGTATTGTGCTAGGCCACAAGCGACACAACCCAATTTAGATATCTAGATACATATGCATTGTATTGTATGCATCGTATAGGTATTAAGACTATTCAATACAAAAAAAATATTGAGTGGGAATGGTTTAAAATGCTAATCCCATCCACAGTTATTCACCATGAATTATCATCCTGAAAAAGAGAACAAATAGATTATCACTACTTGGAAACGCATAATTGCAATTTTTTCTACTTTAAACCTGGATGGGATTGCCGATGTATATAAGTGTTGGT